AGTGCTTGAATGTTGACCTATGAACCAGGAGGTCACAGTTCGATTCCTGGTCAGGGCACATACCTGGGTTATGGTCTTGATCCCGTGTGAGGTGTGTAGGAGGCAGCCGATCAGTGATTCTCTCTCATCATTCATGTTCCTATCGCCCTCTCTCTCTCCCTCTCCCTTAAATCGATAAAAATCTTTTTAAAAACTTTCTGCAGAGAAAAGCCTAGAACCAGATAGCTGAACTGGTCAATTCTACTGTGATATCCTATATAATAAAAGGGTAATATGCAAATTGACCCTAATGGCAGAATGACCACCAGGGGGCAGACACTCAACGCAGGAGCTGCCCCCTAGTTCTCAGTGCACTTCCACAGGGGGAGCACCGCTCAGACAGAAGTCAGTTCCTGGCTGGCCAGTGCGTGGCTGTGGTTAGAGCCTCTTCAGTCTCTGCAGCAGTGCTAAGGATTTCCAATTAACAGGGAGCAGGCCTAAGCCAGCAGATGGACATCGACCAAGGGTTCCCAGGTTGTCAGAGGGCTGTCTGATTGCCAGCTTAGGCCCAATCCCCTGGGGAGCAAGCCTAAGTTGTCAGTCGGACATCCCCCAAGAGGGCACAGGCTGGGCTGAGGGACCCTCCACCCCCCGAGTGCATGAATTTTCATGCACTGGGCCTCTAGTTGTTTTTTATAATAAATGTATATTTGGTATTCATCCTGTTCCTAGCACAGAACTCCTAAAACCCTTGGAATATCCTGAGTGACAAGAACAATAAAGGTATTGTCTCGTTATACGTAACAAGCCCTTTTCAACATCAGAGTTTATATTAATGAGGTGACCTTTGCAAAGCTCCAAGTAAGCTAAGGATGGAGATTGTTTGCCAGGGGAAAAACCATAATTAGAGGTGGATCTTTCAGTTCCTCCCTACTTCCCTCCCACCATCCCACCTGAGGGGAGGGGAAAGGGGCTGGAGGTTGACCAAATCATCAATGACCAACAATTTAATTAATCATGCATATGTAATGAAGCCTTCATTAAAAAAATCTATGAACTGTGAGGTTGGTACACACATGGAGGTGATAGAAGATTTATTCTTTCAGAGAACGCATGGAAGCTCCATGCCCCTTCCCACATACCTTGCCCTATGCAACTATTCCATCTGGCTGTTCCTGATTTATATCCTATTATAATAAACTGATAATCTGGTAAATTAAATGGTTTCTTGAGTTCTGTGAGCTGCTTTAGCAAATAAATCAACCCTGAGGATGGAGTCATGGGAACCTTCAATCAGAAGCACAGGTAACCTAGACTTTCAATTGGCATCTGAAATGGGGGTGGAAGCGGGGTTGTAGGACTCAACACTCTATTTGTGGGATCTGATACTATGTCCTGGGAGATAATCAGAACTGAGTTAAAACAGGACACCTAGCTGGATTCACAGAATTGCTTGATGTGAGGAAAACCCACACACATGCTGTGAGCAGTTAAGTACTGTGGTAGTAGAGTATTGAGAGCAGAGGAGACACATAGGAGTGTGTTTTTCTTTCCACCAACCAATATTTAAAGAATAAACACTAACACTTGACAAATTTCCCAAGTATTATTAAAAAACTAGAGCCCGGTGCATGAAATTCAGGTACAGGTGGTGTCCTGAGGTCTGGCTAGCAATTGGGGTTGATCGGGGCCAAGCCCATCAGGGCCGGGCTGGAGAGGTGACAGTTGCTGGGCTGGGCATGGAAGGAACGTACAGACACTGACACTGCCATCATTGGCACCGCACCACTAAGTTGTTCCCCGCTCCCCCCTTCCCTTGCCACCACCATGGTGGGCAGGTGGTGGACAGATTGGGGCCTGCCGGCTAGGGGGAGGAACAGGGCATAGCAGGTTGGCCGCTGGTTCCAAGGAGGGAACCAGCCCTTGGAACCCTGGGAGAGGGGCCATGTCCGCTACCACCAATCTCTGGTTCCCTGTCCCAGCCCCGGGGCCAGGCGGAGGAGCTGTGGGTGGTTGGCCGGCTGGGGGAGGTTGGCTGTGGGAGTGCAGTGACCACCAGGGACAGCTCCTGCATTGTATGTCTGCCCCCTGGTGGCCAGTGCGCATCATAGCGACTGATCATGCCAGTTGCTTAGGCTTTTAGATAGATAGATGATGATAGCTAGATAGCTAGATAGCTAGATAGGTAGACTGAAGCATATTAAATTTTCAAAGAGTTTAAAAAAAAAACACAACTATTGTTCACAGGTTAAAAAAAAAACTTCATTGTTGAAAGTATTACATATGTCCCCCTTTTTTACTCACTGACCCCTTTTAGCCCACCTCGCCCCCCATCACAGGTCTTCACCACACTATTGTCTGTGTGCATGGGTTGTGGATATATGCATACAAGTTCTTTGATTAGTCTCTTACCGCCCACCTACCCTCCCCTGCACCTCTGGGATTTAACAGACAGGCTTGTTCCATGCTTTTATGTCTGGATCTATTTTGCTCATCAGTTTATTTTGTTCATTAGATTACACATATGAGATCATGTGATACGTGTATTTCTCTGACTGGCTTATTTTGCTAGCATAATACTCTCCAGGTCCCTCTATGCTATCTGAAAGGGTAAGAGATCCTTCTTTTTTACTGCTGCATAGTATTCCATGGTGTAATACCATAGCATTTTTATCCACTTACCCTGTTTCCCCGAAAATAAGACAGTGTTTTATATTAATTTTTTTCTCCCAAAGTTGCGCTAGGTCTTATTTTCAGGGGATGTCTTATATTTCCATGCACTAGGTCTTATTTTCGGAGGATGTCTTATTTTCGGGGAAACACGCTATCTATTGATAGGCATCCAAGCTGTTTCCAGATCTTTGCTATTGTAAATTGTGATCTATCTTTGAGAATGACCCATGTGTACTTGAGAAGAATGTGTATTCTGTAGCTTTGTGGTGAAATGTTCTCTAAATATCAATTAAATCCATCTTATCTAGTGTATCATTTAGTCATTGTTTCCCTATTGATTTTTTTTTAGGGGGGGTGTCTGGAAGAACTACCCAGTGAAGTCAGTGGGGTGTTAAAATCCTCTACAATAACTGTATTATTGTCAATCTCTCCCTTAAAGTCCTCCAGAAGTTTTTTAGGTGCTCCTATATTGGGCACACGTTTACCAGGATTATATCGTCTTGTTGTTAGTATTATGTACTGACCATTATTGTCTCTTATGATGGCCTTCATTTTGAAGTCTATTTTGTCAGATATGAGTATTGCTACCCCAGCTTTTTTTTGTTTTGTTTTGTTTTGTTTCCAATTGCATGGAAATTTTTTCCCCATCCCTTCACTTTCATCCTGTGAGTCTTTTCTTCTCAGGTGGGTCTCTTGTAGAAAGCATTTTTTTTTTTGGGGGGGGGGGCATGTTTTCTTACCTATTCACATACCCCATGTCTTTTTTAAAAAAAGTTTTAGCCCTAGCTGGGCTAAAAAAAATCAATACAAATATATGAAAATAAATAAAAATATTTATTGATTTCAGAGAGGGAGAGAGAGAGATAGAAACATCCATGGTGAGAGAGAAATCTTAATGGGCTGCCACCTGCACATCCACACTGGGGGTTGAGCCAGTAACCTGAGCATATGCCTTCATTGGGAATCAAACTGTGAACTCCCAGTTCATAGATTGATGCTCAACTACTAAGCCACACCAGCCAGGGAACCCTATGTATTTTGATTGGAGCATTTAATCCATTTGCATTTAAGATTATTGGTACATACTATTTATTGCCATTTTAATTCTTTATGACTCCCTCTTATTACAGCAGTCCCTTTAGCAATTTTTTGCAATGCTGGTTTGGTTTAGCCTTTTTTTTTTTTTTGTCTGGGAAGCTCATTTCACTATCTATTTTGAATGATAGCCTTGCTGGATATAGTAGTCATGGTTTTATTCATTACCTTAAATACTTCATGCCATCCCCTTCTGGTCTGTAGAATTTCTGATGAAAAATTGCTGACAGCCTTTTTGGAGCTCCTCTGTTGGACAATTCCTTTTCTCTTGCTGCCTTTAATATTCTCTCTTTGTCTTTAACTTTTGGCATTTTAATTATGCTGTGTCTGGACATGGACCTGTTTGGGTTCTTCTTGCTAAGGACTCTCTGTGCCTCCTGAATTGTCTTTTTTCCATCACCATATTAAGGAAGTTTTCTGCCATTATTTCTTCAAACACGTTCTCTATCCCTTTCTCCCTTTCTGCCTCTCTAGCTCACCTACTATTTGAATATTGTTATGTTTCACGTTGTCCCACAACTCCCTTATGCTATACTCCTGTTTGTTTTTAATTGCTTTTCTTTTTGGTTCTCTGATTTCTTTCTATCCTGTCTTCTAAACTCTCTGACCAGATCTTTAGCTTCCCATGATCTGCTGTACATTCCTTCCAATGTGTTCTTTATTAGTATTATGTCATCCTTCATTTCCAAATGGTAATTTTTCATAGTTTTTACATCTTTTCTCATGCTGTTGAGCATCCTTGTAATCATCATTCTGAACTCTGTATCTGATACATTTCTTAAAATATACATATTGATTTCAGACAGGAAGGGAGAGGGAGAGATAGAAACATCAATGATGAAAGAGGATCATTGATCTGCTGTCCCTGCACGTCCCCTACTGGGAATAGAGCCCACAACCCAGGCATGTGCCCTTGACTGGAATCGAACCTAAAACTCTTTAGTCCACTGAGCCAAACCAGTTAGGGTTATCTGATACTTTTCTTATCTCCATTTCATTTATCTCTTCTGGAGAATTCTCTTATTCTTTCATTTGGGGTTTGTTTTTGTTTTTGTTTTTTTTTTAATATATTTTATTTATTTTTTACAGAGAGGAAGGGAGAGAGATAGAAAGCTAGAAACGTCGATGAGAGAGAAACATCGATCAGCTGCCTCCTGCACCCCCCCCACCGGGGATGTACCCGCAATCAAGGTACATGCCCTTGACCGGAATCGAACCCAGGACCTTTCAGTCCGCAGACAGACGCTATGCCACTGAGCCAAACCGGTTTCCGCGGGCTTGTGCTTTTTTTGTCTCTCCATCTTGTCTGCCTGTTTGGGTTTGTGTCCATGTATTAGGTAGATCTGCTATGACTTCCAGTTTCTCATCCAGAACAATTTATGATGGCTAAAATGAAAAGGGTGGAAAAGAAAAAGTTTTGGTGAGGGTAATGAGAAACAAGCCCTCTAAACATTGCTGATCGAATGTAAAATGCCTTGGAAAATAGACTGGCAGTGCTTCAAGGTGTTAAACACAGATTTATCTTATAACCAAGCAATTCCATTCCTTGGTATATACCCAAGAGAAAGGAAAATATATGGCCACACAAAACTTAAACACAAATATTCAAAGCAGCATTGTTTATAATAGCCAAGGAAAAAAGCCCAAATATTCACCAACCGAGGTATAAATAATATGTGCTATTTATCATAAAATATATTTGGCAATTAAAAGGAAGAAGTACGGAAACATGTTATAATATGAATGAAACTTTAAAACAATATACTAAGCGAAAAAAGTCACAAAAGACTATGTTTTATTATTCAATTTGTAAGAAAATTCTGTATTGGTAAATGTATAGAAACAGAAAGTAGATTAGGGTTGCCTGGGGCTAGCAGAAGGGTAGGGATAGAAAATGATTGGAAATGGATACCAGGTTTCTTTTGGGGGTAATAAAAATGTTCTAAAATTAGATTGTGTGATGGCTGCCCAACCCAGTGAATGTACTAAAAACCACTGCTTTGTACTTTTTTTTTTTTAATGGTTTTATTAATTTCAGAGAGAGAAAAGGTAATGATAGAATGATAAGAAACAATCATCAATCAAGTGTCTCTTGCAGACATCCTAACTAGGGATTGAGCCCGCAACCTGGACATGTGCCCTGATTGAAAAATGAACCATGACCTCCTGGTTCATAGGTCAATGCTGAACCACTGAGCCACATTGGCTGACTTATTTGTACTCTTTATGTGGGTGAATAATATGGCATATAAATTATATCTCAATAGCACCGTTAAGAGAAAAAATTAGACTAAATAGGAAGAGGGGGGAAATGGCAGCCGAACAGATGGACCTGTTCTGAGCCTAGTCCCAGAGCAGACAGAAGGAGCACCTGAGAGTCACTCGGAGAATGTTAGTTGGCAAGCTAAGGGGTAGCAGAACTCTAAGAGAAGGTGGAGTATTGCTGGACAGGATTTCCTGACCAAGCAGCCCACACTGCAGTGGAGACCTCTCAAGGAGTTATAGGCTCAGAGGGAAAACTACTCCATCTTGCAAAGAAAAGAGAATCTTACCCGAGGCCTGAGAAACCTCAACAGTGAAGACCACCGAACAGCTGTGATGCACCAATCAGCGCAAACACGTGGATTCAAGGGAGTTCTTCAATCACCCACGGAAAAGTCAGAGTTTACCGGGGATAATGTGAGGGATCTGGGTCCCCGCAGCAGCTGCGGCAGCAGCTGTGCAGCCAGGGAGGCTCCAAAAGTGGCAGCGACTGCAGAGAGAATCGTGCACGCTGTAAGATACACTGCTGGGTCTGGCGTTATCTTTCCAAAATTGGGACTTTTTAAAACGCCAAGGGACGTAGGACAAATTGTTAAGAATCGGGACTGTCCCGCCAAAAGCAGAACATCTGTTCACCTTGACGCAGACCCATCCTGCGCCTGTTCCCCTTCATCCCCTTGCTTCTGAGTACTAGGCAAGGACTGCCCAGTTTGGCATATCCTGGGAGACTGCAGGGAGAAATTGCCTTCCTGGAAACAGGGGATCAGAATGGGAAGAGACTATCTGGAAGCCAGCACATTGACACAATGGAATACTATGCTGCCATAAAGAAGGAATTCTTATCATATGCAGCAACCTGGATGGAATGGGAGAACATTATGCTGAGTGAAATAAGCCCATTAATGAAAGAAAAACACAACATGATCTCACTCATTTATGGATAATAAAGAACATTATAAACTGATGAACAAAAAGATAGATACAGAGACAGTAAAGCAACAGACTGTCAAATTACAGCAGGGAGGGTAGGGAGATCTGGGGGAGATAAGAGATCAACCGAAGGACTTGTATGCATGCATATAAGCAAAACCAACTGACGAACAACTCTGGGGAAGGAGGGCATACATGGGAGTGGGGGGGAGGGCAAGATATGTACACATATAATAAGTCAAGGGCACATGCTCAGATTTCAGGCTTGGTCCCCAGTAGGGGGTGTGCTGGAGGCAGCCAATCAGTGATTCTCTCTCCTTAATTATGTTTCTATCTCTCTCTTCCTCTCCCTTCCTCTCTGAAATCAATAAAAAATATTAAAAAAATAAATAAAATGAGCATGTCAAACTCAAAGGCTAACACAGGCCAAATAAACAAGGTTTAAGTTTATGTGGGCCACAAAAAGCACACACAAAAGTTTCAATTTCCATAGAAACGAAGGTTTATTTAATAGAGATATGCTGAATACAAAGGGCTGAAATAGATGAGTAATCATTAACATAAAATAATAAAACATTTTAATAAAAATTTATTTTTTCTTGAACATTAAATTACCAGACACTGAATAACTTCACAAATAAGTGTAATGCAAATAAACCTATTTTTCTTGTTCTCCAAAAGTGAAATATTTCCTGTTGCACACACCAAACAAGTCAGTCCAAGACGAATGATGTGGCAATCAGCTGCTAAAATATTTGCTGCTGGTATTAGTGGAAAGAAATGATGCACCTGCGCATAAGGCACACATAGGAAATGAATGCAACATGATTATAGTAATCAGTCATTAATGAACACCGTAATTCATTATTAATAATTATGTTTAACAGGATATTGTAAAAATTAAGTTACCATAATTTTTAAATTTTTAAATTTTTAAAACGTTTCTTATATACGGTTAGATTGGCTGGACCAGAAAAATATTCACTGTGGGCCGCATGCGGCCTGCAGGACACAAGTTTGACATGCTTGCTCTAACAGGGGTCCTCAAACTTTTTAAAGTGGGGGCCAGATCACGGTCCCTCAGAGAGCTGGAGGGCCGGACTATATGAACTACTAATTCCTACTGTAACACCTCGGCTGCGCTCACTGCCCAAAAAATCTGGCGGGCCGGATCAGACTCCTCTGCGGGCCGCATGTGGCCCGCGCGCGGGCCGTAGTTTGAAGACGCCTGCTCTAGAATAATCCAGCTAGTCACTAGAAAATAACAATAACAAGCTCCAGATGGGGAGGGAAAGCCAATATTCAGAGTTGCTATAATACATTATCTAAAATGTGCAGTTTCCAACAAAATCTTGAGATGTGTAAATAAATAGGAAAGTATAATACATATCAGGAAAAGGAAGCAGGCAAGGGGAAGGGCAGGGGACACCCGGAGAATGACAAAGTCAGGGATCTGGGCTGGGGAGAACTGCAAAACCTCCGAGTCCAAAGGGTCAGAGGGAAACCGCATGGCACCGAGGCCGTCTTTCTTGGAACAGGCGTAGCCTCTGACTGTGGGAAGAGGTCCGCAAAACTGCTGGTGGTAGGCGATTCTAGATCTGGGTCCACATTCATGAGAGACTGGGCCCAGAGGGGGCAGCCTGGACAGATGCCCACGCTGCACCATGCCGGTGGCAGAGGGGCTCACAGTAGTGCAGCTCTTTCCCCTCTTGGTGGCCTTTGCCCTTCTTTGCTGAAAGGTTCATAGGACCTTTCAGATACAGACACTCACCCATGGCTGAGGTGCAGGAAAAGGAGCACACTTGTAGAGTCTGGGGAGAGGCTGGGGAGAGGAGAGAGTTGGGGAAAAGTGGCCATGAGTCTGGTGCTGAGTCATACCTGACTTGCTGGACCTAGGCAGCCATTTTCTCCTGAAGAAATAGTCCTTCCCTGCAGTCTCCAAGCAACCAATACCACCCCCAGACTACACCCGGAGTGGTACAAAGGATTTAAAAAAATCTGAATATACCTAAGAGTCCAAAGGGACTGGCCCAAACAGAGGCCTTCATTCCCAGCAACAGGAAACAGGAACCATAGATAGTACAGAAGAGTGGGATCTTAAACCAGCCAAAGGAATACTTGACTTTTTCATTTTTATTTTATTATTTTGTTATCTTCTTTTTTTCCATTTGTTTCTTTATTTTCTATTTCTTTTTACATTATTTTTTTGCCATTCTAATTTATTTTTATCCTATTTTTAATAAATTTTAAATTATTATCATTATCATCATCATCTTCTCTTTCTCTTTCTTCTTATCCACTCATCCTCTTTCTACTTCCTCTATACTGACCTAAGGTCCTCCCCATATTCATCCAATTCTTAACTTTACTTTCTGTATATAAGATTCTGGCCCACCCTCTTTACTGAGAATTTGGTGTTTGTATGTTTTGGTTTATCTTTTTTGTTCTCTGGTGTTTTTTCCCCATATATACATCCCCCCCTTTTTCTTCCTTTTTCTTTTCTCTCATACCATTTTTTTTCTCTCTTCGATATCATTTGTTCTCTCTTGTCTCTCCCCTAAGTCTCTTTTTTCTGGTGGTCACTTATATTGGTGTCATGAGTACATTCATATTTCGTTCTCTTTATATTGTGGAGAATTTTTTTAAAATATCTTTTATTGAAAGAAACCAAGATGGCGGCATAGGTAAATGCCTAACTGCAGCCTCACACAACAATTTCAAAAAATACCACTAAAATATAAAGTGGACATTATCCAGAACTATAGGAAAGTTGGCTGACTGGAAATTTTACAACTAGAAGGAAAGAGAAAACCAGAAGGAAAATCAGAGGAGCTGTAAAAGCCTAAGGTACAGAGACATGGTGTGCACGTGGAGAGAGCCAGAGAGGAGCGGCGGCTGAGTGCCTGGTTGGCGTTTCCTGGCGGGAAGGAGATAAAAGCTCCGGACTGTGCTGAACTCCAGTTCTGACTGCACTGATCCCCAGTTCTGGGCGAGACCCTGGGGTCCCGGGCTCATACAGAGGGATTCTAGGCTGTAAGGCGGAAACTCAGGGGAGCAGCAAAAGGCAGAGCCCGGGAGTCACGCACATTGTGCGCAGAGGATGGACTGTTGTCTGTGCCGCTGGATTGCCCTAGCAGGAAGGAGACAAAACCTCTGGACTGCACTGAACCCCACTTCCAACTGCACTAAACCCCAGTTCCGGGCTCACTGGGGGAGAGACTAGACTGTCTGGTAGTGGGCGAAACTCGAGGGCACCTTTCTTTCAGAGGTGCTTCAGCGAGTACCAAAGCAGGGAGTACCAAAGGACACTGGGGAACACTGAGACTCAGGAACCTCATAGGGCGGGGCTGACAGGAAGCCAAGGCTGTAGGCTCCACCCTGAAACTCCGCTTCATCCAAGCTGAGCACAGAGGCTGTTGAATGAGGCTGTCTCCTGGCATAGACACAGCTGATACTCACAGCCAATTGGCCTGGAGGTCAGTTCCTCCCAGTGATACCAACAACAATTAAGACTTAACTACAAAAGGTTGTACACAAGTTTACAAAGGGGTGCACCAAGAGTGTCCACCTCAGATAACTGGGCGGCTGAACCACTGAACCATATAGGACACCTTAGCACACAAAGCCACCCTACAAACTAGGGGAAGCAGCGAAAATGCCGAGACAAGGAAACAGATCACAAACAAACGAAATGGAGGACAAAAAGCAACTGGATATAGAGTTCAAAACCACACTTATAAGGTTTTCAAGAATTTCCTAGAAAAGGCTGATAAAATAAATGAGACCTATGAGGATATGAAAAGGGATCAACTAGAAATAAAGAATACATTGTCTGAAATAAAAAATTTTATACAGAGTCCTAAAAACAGAGTGGAAGATCGCAAGAATCAAGTCAAAGATTTGGAACACAAAGAGCCAGAGGACACTCCTCCGCAGAAGCAAGAAGACAAGAGAATCCAGAAAGTTGAAGATAGTGTAAGAAACCTCTGGGACAACTTCAAGCGAACCAACATCAGAATTATGGGGTCCCAGAAGAAGAGAGAGAGCAAGATACCGAAAACCGGTCCCGGCTTGTCGAGGAAAACTTTATCCCATTTGTCCAATGTGCTAGAGAAGGAGCCACATAACCAGACACCCGGAGAGGAGACTCCATCCACAAACAGGTCAATAACACCACAGACCCAACTACAGAGGCAGGAAGAAGGCGGCAGCGAGGGAGAGCGCATGCGGGAGCAAAAGAGGAATGTGTGGACACGTGGAGGGGGGGGGGTGTGAATGTGTGTGACTGAGGCAGTTAGATTCCACAGGACCTTTGGGGGTGATTAACCGGGCTTGCCTAACCAGGCAGCCTCTGCTACCATTGCACAGACTCCTAGAGAGGCCAGTTCTACAGAGGCCTAACCTTTTTGAAAGGGAGAGTTGCTGTGACTGAGAGCCCAGCCTCATCTCCACCTGATATTCCAGGGTGCCCTCAAATAACACCTGGTACTCTACAGCCACCCCGCCAGGGATGTGCTGCCTCGGCTCTGGTCCCACTGTCATTGAGATTCCAGCCAATCT